CTTTGAAACAACTTTAAGAAATAACTCCTATACATATAAATATAATTTTCCTTTGAGAGTTTATATTAAACTCAAATCAGGTACATGGAGATTACTGATTAAACTGAAATTATTATTATTATTTTTAAAGATTTTATTTATTTGACAGAAAGAGACACAGTGAGAGAGGGAACACAAGCAGGGGGAGTGGGAAAGGGAGAAGCAGGCCTCCTGCGGAGCAGGGAGCCCGATGCGAGTCTTGATCCCAGGACCCTAGGATCACAACCTGAGCTGAAGGCAGACACCTAACGACTGAGCCACCCAGGTGCCCCTAAACTGAAATTATTAACATCTCAAGATGATGCTGAGACCATATTTATTCATTTCCTTCATATTAACATCAAAAGCAAGCAAATGTATAAAGGTTTTTCTATGTCATTTGTTCTGACAATGCATCTCACAATGGTTTTTGTGGTTTGGTAAAGAAATAGATGCAGAAATATATTTGTGAAATAAAAAAAACCCCTAAGTTGTGCTTTATGAAAAGACTATTAAGGCATGGTTATCTCTGAGCACCCAAATTATGGATTATTATGGATTATTTCCATTTTCTTCTTACCTCCTTTCCATATTTTATAATAATCCTGAATTACCTTTGCAATCAGAAAAAGGGTTTCTTTTTTTTAAAAAAATTGTTACATGAAAGTTATGTGTCTATAAATGTAGCATAGTAAACCTGATCTATTTCAATCTGCTTGCACTTTCTATATGACATCCAGTAGTTCTCTTTCCCTCAGTGGCTGAAGTTTGCAGACTTTATTTACAAGCTGGGATCCAATGATTTGTATTGTGATCACATTGGTCCCCATCTCTCTCCAAAATGACAAAGCAAGGTCCATTGAGCACAACGTGACAAGCAATGTTTTAAATGTCATTACTAAAACAACTGTGCAGGCTTTTCATCAGACTTCTACAGAACCACAAAGAAAGGTCAAAGCAGAGAGAAGCTGACTGTTAGAAAAACTCCAGCCTCTTATACCTCTCATAGCCACAGTCACATGGTATAAAGCAAATATTTTTAGGTTACACGGAGAAAATTTGAAACTGCAACTTTGGTGTGCAATGGGATATGCAAAGAGAGACAGAGAGAGAAGAGGGTTTCTTCATGATGATTAAAGTTTTCATGCAAAGGGTTTGAGATCCTTGGATGAAAGTTGTTAAGTAAATACTGCATGACATGCACATTGTACAACAGCATGTCATAATTATAGTTTGCTTTCAACCATCTGAAGCCTTTCTGTGTTTTCTGGTTTTAGCTTCTAAGCCTTATGAATTATTTCTGACTCATCAGCCTTTCACCCTAGGGGCAACTCACAAGCTCCATAAAAATATGGATATTTTTCTTAAATCTCTTTTCTGGCAAATGCATTTGTTTTTAGCCTCAGAATGTAAATTCCCACAATGAAAAGTGACTAAATAATACTTCTCTCCCTCTCTTATATCTTCCTTTCTCTAAAAATGTCCATTTATAATTAAAAGCACATATCTGAAGATCAGTTCTGCATTACAGTTGGGGACCTGAAGCTGAGGAGACAGTTGGGAGCAGGATGGTATAAAAGCTACTACTAGGTCAGAGTGCCCAACCTCTGGTCAGCCCAACTGACACTTTGGGCTAGATAATTCTTTATTGTGAAAGGCTGCCCTGTGCATTGTAGGATGTTCAACAATATCCCTGGCCTCTACACAATAGATGCCAGTAGGGCAGAGCTCCAACTCCCCAGACGTGGTCACCCAAAAGTATCTCCAAGATATTACCAAATATCTCCCAGCAGACAAAATCAGTCCCAATTGAGAACCACTGCACTGGGCCAAAAACCCTACAAAACCAAACCCTTTGTGCTTTTTCCAATTCAAAGTGCTCCTTTGACCTCAGAGTCAACCTCTACCTACCTAGCTACCTACCAACATAAAATACAGACACTCACAAACACCTTCACAGTTTTCATGTCAAAGCCCTTGAACATTGTCTAGAGTTTTTCCTCTGAGCCATATGTCACTAATTTGGCTAGGAGAAGAGAAGCACTGGTAACTTTCCCAGCCTTCACTGACATGGGTGTTCATGCTTTTAATGTTCATGGTGTTTTTAAGTGACATGGGTGTTCATGCTTTTAATGTTCATGGTGTTTTTAAGTGACATGGGTGTTCATGTCACTTTTAATATTCATGGTGTCTTGACTACTGAAGCTGTAAATGTCCACAGTTTGTTTTTTTAATCTGCTAGCCACACTGCAACCCCATGCTCCCCCATGAATATTGTTTCAACCATAATTTTATTTAATTAAGTATGTTTATTTTGCCTTGTAATTCTCTCATTTGGTCCTTAAATATGCAATTATGATCTAGGCTCAATATATTTATTTCCTGAAATTCTCCTAGATTAGAACGGGTTAATTAAAACTGAAGAAGAGATTTATAGAATTAAAAAAAGCACTTCCTAATTCATTCCATAACAAAGCAACACATAGTACTCATATAAACTGTATTTTTATGCCTCTTAGTATATTCAAGGGATGTTTATTCTCCCTACTGCAAGTTATCTGATGCTTGAAGCACCAAGGAAAATGGACAGAGGGAGTGATTTCCTCTATGGAAGAAACATTAATAATAAATTCCTCTCTATGGAAAACTCTTGACAAGTGGATTTACCATTACTAGATTCATAATCGTGAGTAAGCATCTTAGTCTCTGCTGGCCTGCTTCATTTTTAGTAAAATGAGAATGATGATACCTACCCTCTAGGGCATGTTGAATGAGATCATCTATTTTAAGCTTTTAAAGATTTATTTATTTATTTATGCATTTATGTATTTATTTATTTATTTGACAGAAAGACACAGCGAGAGAGGGAACACAAGCAGGGGGAGTGGGAGAGGGAGAAGCAGGCTTCCCACAGAGCAGGGAGCCCGATGAGGGGCTCGATCCCAGGACCCTGGGACCATGACCCAAGCCAAAGGCGTCGACGCTTAATGACTGAGCCACCCAGGCGCCCCTGTTTTAAGCTTTTAGCCCTGTGCCTGACATACAGGTGTTTTATTAATGTCATTTCTGTGCTACTTCCCTCCTTTGTTCCTAGCACCAGCTAAATAATTTGTGAGATTCAGTGCAAAATAAAAAATGAGTGCTCCCTTGCTCAAAAATTAAGAATTTCAAGATGACCACAGCAAAACATTAAACCAAGTGAGGGGCCCTTCTAAGAGAGGGGCTCTCTCTGTTACTGCATCAGCTGTACACTCATAAAGCCAGCCTTGCTTGCTCCCCTAGGGTTTTCAAGTTCTGTTTGTCTATTCTTTTAAATTAAAAGCCCCTCTTCAATTTGACAATTGACAGGGAAATAAATGTAACCAACCAAATAGGGCTTGACTGTGTGTGTTGTTTTTCAACACTTGCTCACTTTTACTCAAGCTGTTGAATGTTAGTGAGCCTCAAGCTGTTATAAAGGAGCTATTTTAATCTGCCATGGCATTTCAGGGGTTTGTATCATTCTCAACATGGAGGAATTAAAAAAAAAAATACCTTAGTTGTCTATAAGAAATTGGACCCTTGATGATAGCCCAAGAGGCACTTAGTGTCCAAAGAGCCACTTAATTGAAAAGCTCTTTATCCAGAGTTATCAAATAGCATTCACAAAGAAAGCAGCATAGCTCTAAATATTTTAGATCCTGGCCTGGAGACTTTGAGAGACCTGGTCCAGATGCCTAAGAGTAAAATACCCAAAAAGGAAGACTTGGTCTCCAAACTGTGCCCCAGTTCTGCAGGTTATTCCTTCTTTAAGGATGCATCAGCATGTCCTATAAAAGGTTTGTCAAGGTTTTCACATCCTACTTGTAAGAACAGATTCCTGTAAAAAGGCAAAATATGTGTGTGACTGTGTACAAACATAGATACACAGAGAAATGTCCAAATTTCCTCTATTGGAACAAACACACACACACACACACACACACACAGAGGCACACAAGCATCTTTTTTTTTTTTTTTTAAGATTTTATTTATTTATTTGAGAGAGAGAATGAGATAGAGAGCATGAGGGAGGAGGGTCAGAGGGAGAAGCAGACTCCCTGCCGAGCAGGGAGCCCGATGCGGGACTCGATCCAGGGACTCCAGGATCATGACCTGAGCCGAAGGCAGTCGCCCAACCGACTGAGCCACCCAGGCGCCGGGCACACAAGCATCTTAACAGAAGGCAAAGAGAATTAACATTTACTGAGCACCTTCTATGTGCCAGGTGTTTTACATAAATGGGAATACTAAAGTATATGTTAGTTCTCATTCTTTCATTCAATCTCAAGACACTGAAAACAAGTGCCCCCCCCCACCTCCCCCCCCCCCGTGTTGAAACTGAAGCTCAGAGCAGTTATGCAACCTGCCCAAAGTCATACAGTCAGCAAGTTGGAGGGTCTGGACTGGAAATTTCATCTGATTCCAAAACGCATATATCACATCCCTCTTGACCTTAGATGATTAAGACTTCAGGGGTCTAATCTGTCACAGTGTCTGAATCAAATAACAAACGAAATGCAACAAATTTCAACATACTTGCTAATCATATTAGTTTACATGGCCGCCTTACTCTTACCAAAATTCCCACTCTTTCTCCCACCCTCCATCACCATAAATCGTTCAGTGTCTAAGGGTTACCAATTTCGCTAACAGTTATCGGGAGAACAGGCTGGCCTCTCTGTAAAGATAAAAAGTTAAAATTTGTGGTATGGGACTAACTCCAAAGACCTAAAAAAAAAAAAAAAAAAGAAATTAAAAAAAGCTGTTAGGGGGTCCAGTCCCTCACTTCCGGCCTTGACAGCGCGAGAAGGAACCCCAGCACGTGAGACGAGAGCACGCCTAGCACGCGCGCCCCTCCGGGCAACTGCCCGGTCGGCCCGGACTGCGCAGGCGTGAAGGCCGGAGCGGCTGGGGGCGGTCGGCTCGCGGTTACCCTGGAGACCGGGCGGAAGCGGCCGGAAGCTGCGCTGCGGTTGGCCGCGGCGGAATGGAGCAGCTGGGGGTGGAGCCCGCGGAGGAAGCTGGCGGCGACGAGGAAGAGGACGCGGTGCAGGCCATGGAGCGGGTGGAGGCGGGGGAGACCGGCGGCTCGCCCGGTGCGCCCGGGCCTGAGGAGCCCGGCGGCCTCGCTTGGTGTAAATGAGAAGGGCGGGGCGGGCGGAGGCCAGGGGCGGCGGCGGCCATCGGGGTGCGACCGTCCCCGCCTCGCTCTGTTCTGTCGTTTTCCCGGCTTGGTAGAGAGAGCTGGCCTCCGCTACCGGCTGTTCTATGGCCAAGATCCCGAAAGGGTTGGCTTCGCTTGAATAGGACGAGGGTGGGCGTGTCAGTTACGGTAGTCGAGGGTGCATTTGTGGTCCCCCAAACTGTCCGGTGAAGGCGGAGGAGGCGCCCGGGCGGTGTAAGGTTGCAGAAGTAGAGAACCTCGTCGCCCACTTGGCAGAGTTTGGGACTCAGGCTGGGCTCACAACCGAAGACGAGGCACATCTGCAGTGGCCGCCTCGCCGTGACCCTGTTCCAGCCTCTGGGCTCTACCTTATCAGCCCAAACCCAGGGCCTGGGGCCAAGGCTCCAATTCCCGGGCTCCCCTTCCCCCTTTAAGTTGTACATTTTGGAATAATTTTAGACTTACAGAAGTTGCAGAAGCGTTTTCCCTAATGTTAATGTCTTCTGTGACTATAGTACATATGTCGAAACTGAGAAGTGAACACTGGCATAATGCTATTAACTAAAGTAAAAACGCTATTCAGATTTTACCAGTGTTTTCCATTAAAATTTGTGTTCCAGTATCCAGACCAGAATACCACATTGCACTTATCCTTCCTTGTTTTTGACTGGTTATGAGCTGGAATCTCCTCTTATCCCCCTTCCCTCCCCACCCCTGACGAGCTACTTTTTAAAATTCAAGAAATATTTACTCATTCTTCTAATTTAGTGAGTATTTATTGGTAGTCTGTTACATACCAGGCACTCTTCTAGGTATTTGGGATTCAGTACAGAACTAGGTAATCCTTCTCTCATATGGGCACTAAATATAGTCCACTGGAACCCACAGGTCTGGCTTCTGCCCTTTTGTATTTACGACTATTATTATTATTTTTTTTAATTTAAGAACGTGCCACTTAGAATAATTTTTAGTTGGTTGAAATCAGTGTTTAAACTTTCCTACCCCTTATGATTTAATCTAAATGTTGTTAGAAACTTCCAAGTGATAGGATTACCTTTTGCATCTTCTACTACTGATCAAGATTTTTTGCCTCAAAGTTATTACTAGCCTGAGAAAAATAGAGTGCACAAAGAAATACTAAGTAAACAGGACTGAAGACCCTACTGTAGATGGAGTTTCTCTCATGTCTATAATTTTTAGATGCCTGGACACATGAATCCAGGAAAAAAAATCTGCATTCTTCTTTCTCAGTTACCATGTTTTAAGGAACTGCCAATTGCTCAGAGATGATAAGCAGCCTGAATGTATTTTTCTGTTTCTTTGCATATTTTGCATTGGTTCATGGTCAAGTGGTTCCAGAAGAAAGTTCTTCATCCAGAGTCATAGTACACGTGGATCTGGATTGCTTTTATGCACAAGTAGAAATGATTTCAAATCCGGAACTGAAGGGCAAACCTTTAGGTAATTTTGGACATTAATAATAATTTTCATTTTGTATAAGAGTATTAGCTATTCCTTTATGTTGATTATATTCTGATTTATTAACCATATTTAAGATTTTGGAAGCAGTTCCCAAGGTACTTTATAGACAGTAAACTTTGCTTCACTACCAGGTGTAAAACTTATAAGCCTTATTTAATAAATGGTGAATTTTATACAACTAGTATAGCCAGCTGAACACATGAACGGAAAGACCATAATAAACTTTTAATCTTGTTCTCAATGGTTGAAATTTTATAATCCTCTTATCTCAAAAAAGTCATTGCATTCTAATGGACGTTTTCATCTATCCTCTCCACTTTTGAAATTAACTCTTGGATTGTGTAACATATGACAAAAAGGTTGGATTTTGAATAGACCCCTAAATACTTAAGGCATATTGAGTGTAAGTTTTCCATAAATAATAAGTATCTTTTTAAATAAAAGGCAAAGAGAAATTTTATGTTGAAGATTTACTTATTAATATGTTGGCTTATTTTAACATTTTTATTATATGTATATCTTAAATTGGAAAAGTCATTTAAATTTCCAAAAATTTCTTTTATGCATGTAGTAAGAATTTATCTTTTAGTATAAGCATAAAGAGCAACTCTGGTTCACCTGCTGCTAACCTCTTGTGCCTCATTTGGTTTTGATAAATCCCAGTTCAACCCAGCCTAGTTGATTTACTGAAGAAGAACAAAGGGATGACTAGTTTTTGGTATGCCAGTATCAGTCTAGGATCTTTAAATTTCCCATGGGTGTCAAGGAGTTAGGATTAGAGGATGTAAGTTTTCTCCTAAAGGCATTTGTAATTAGTAGCAGTATAATAGAAGATGCTATGTAGATAATGCTCAATAAAAAAGTATTGTATAATTAAGACACAGGAATGAATGATTATCTGGAAGTGAGAAATGTGATGTTGAAAGTTTCTGGGAGAAAGCAGAAGTAGTCTTTCAGTTATGCTTAACAAATGTGTGACTGTTTAAGTTGGGCTGGTGACATATAATGGTGAGTCCATATAATTTAATTCTGTATTGAGGAAGTTACCAATCCTATTTTCTATATAGTTCACTGATTAATCTTAAATTATGACTTTTGACCTAGAGATTCTATTTTGGGGCATAATCTGATATATCACAAATCTTTATGTGAAATAACATTACTTTGCCCTGTTTATAATATCAACATTTTAGAAACCTATGTCTTACATTGGTGGAATGGACATAACCCTTTTTTTTCTTCTATATGTTTGTATTTTACATTTAGATGACCATTACTTTTACAGTGATAAGTGGTCAACTTGTGTAAAGAGAAAATTAATTTCAACGATCTTAAGCCACCACTAGTAAGCTAGAGTTTTTATAGTCTGTAGATGATCATAATTTAATCATTTTTGATAAGGAGGGGGCTCACTAATGATGGCTAATATTTTCTACAAATTGCTGTGAAGAACAGTTCAATAATTACAACATTTATCAGGGGGGAGATCTTTAATAATAACTATAGGTTAGCACTTGTAACAGAACATTGCTTTATATTCATTGGAAAGTTTTTCTAGCAGAAACCGGTAATTAATTGTACTCAGTTATTTTCATCTGTTTTATTTTTCTGGTGAAACATGGCCTAGACTTTATATACAGAGAGAGTTACTTCAATATAAATTAACCTGGTTTGTATTGTCTGGAAAAAAATCCTAGAAAGATTTTATTTGTATCTTTTCACTGAAGACTCCAGAGAATATACTGATTTATGATAATTTTTGTTAAATTTCATAGAACCTTGATGAATGGAGGCTATGCTTTTTTTTTTTGTTTTAAAGATTTTATTTATTAGTTTGACAGAGACACAGTGAGAGAGGGAACACAAGCACGGGGCGTGGGAGAGGGAGAAGCAGGCTTCCCGCAGAGCGGGGAACCCGATGCTGGCAGGGGCTCAATCATGACCTGAGCCAAAGGCAGATGCTTAACGACTGAGCCACCCAGGTGCCCCTGGAGGCTATGCTTTTCAAATGAATAGAGCTTTTTATTCTTAATCAAAATAGATTGCATTACAATTTACAATTATAATATGGAAGGAGTAAATTTTATTTTAAAATGTTTCTTTAATCTTGCTCACTTTTCTCATAAAATATTTCCTATTTTATAGGAGTTCAGCAGAAATATTTGGTGGTTACCTGTAACTATGAAGCTAGGAAACTTGGAGTTAAGAAACTTATGAATGTCAGAGATGCAAAAGAAAAATGTCCACAGCTGGTATTAGTTAATGGAGAAGATTTGACTCGTTACAGAGAGATGTCATATAAGGTTACAGGTACAGATCATGGACAATATACTTTCAGCATCAATTTGTATATAGGATGCTCATTCACTACATGAAACTTTTAATTAGTAAAATGCCATAAATCACTTTCTTTTTGCTAATAACTTTTATTTTGGATCTTGGCTGCTTTTAAAAATATTTTATATAAAAGGATGGCTTTATATGAGTAATGTTGACAAAAAAAACGTATAGTTGGAAGAAATTTGAAGTCTCTTGTGACTGGTGTTTATATGTGAGAAAAATGTTAAATGTGAGAAAAAATGTAAAACAAATTTGGAAACAAGAAAATGGAAAGATATACAAAAGATAAATGCAAGAAAGTAAAATATTTTTTTATTTTATTTTAAATTTAAATAACAAGTTTAAATGAATTATGAGGAAATATCTGTACTCTGATGCACTAGTAGTTGGGAGAGGCTTCTGTAATGTTTGATTTAACAATTAAAAACTAGATTTGTTAAAACACACACACAGACTAAATATTATAGTATAGATAAACTCTTCCCTATTAAGTTTTGGGTTTGAATCTTAGAGTTTTAGTAAATTACAGGAAAAATGAAAACACATTTGTACTGGTATATTGCAAATATATATAATTTAAAAATGTATAAGAATCAAAGAATCAACTGTTTATCTTTTCTCCTTTGTTTTTGCTTGTTCTTTTATAAAAAATTGTAGCAGTTTTCAGATGAAAGTGTTAAATATGATACCCAAAGCCCTTACAAGTTTACAAGAAAAAGATCTTAAGAAAAATGGATGAAAGATATGAATAGGCAGTTGACAAAAAGAACAAACCCAATGTCCACAATTATGTGGAAAAAGAATACTCAAATTCATTAGTAGCTAAGGAAATTTGAATTAGTGAGATATTATTTTATGTCCATCGTACTTGCAAAAAATAATGTGAGAGAAAGTAGAAACAAAATATACATTTACAAAAAGTGATATAGAAACATTTTTCGAAATTAGAGATACATACTGTATTTTTTAACCCTGTGATACTACTGCTGGGAATTTATTCAATAGGAATAAAATAATGAGAACATATGTACAAAAATATTTCTTGTGGCATGGCTCATAATTGATAAAAATGGCTAAATAAGACTTCTCTATGATGGAATATTATATAGCCATTAAAAAGAACGCATTGGTGCTATACTGTTTGACTCAGAGAGATATGCCTTGTTGAGTAAAAGGCAAGATGCAAAAACATGTCATATTGTTCCATATGTGTAAAACAATGGCCCAAACCCCTCCCTTTACACATATATATATGCCTGTGTATAAATAGGAAGGGAAACATGAAAGGATGTATGCTAGGTTTTTAACATTAATTAATTTCTGGAGAGAGCATGGTGAAATGGGAGAAGGGAGAAGAAGGGATAGCCAAGCAAAGATAAGACTCTACTCTGAAAATATCACTTGTGCATCCATGCAAAATTGTATGTTTCTGAATATGAAGAAGTTAATCTTTACACAGAAGAGGTTATACATACAGTTGTGCCTCTTGGTGAGCTCTCATATCCTTCATATTAGCTCTGCCTCATCTTTTTCATGCCTGCATAGTACTACATTGTATTTTGTTCCATACTCCTTTAGCCAGGCCTTTAGTGATATGAAGACAGAGTGTCCCACTTTATTCCTATTATCCCTACATAATTATTAAAGCACTTCCTTTCATTCAAAAAATGTCTTATGTTGGATGATAAATTACATGGTTTCCTGATAGTGACGGATTAATTTGGCTGTTACTTTTTGCTCTTCCAAATATATGCTTCAGTAGACATTTTCATATAGAAATTTTGGCATACTTTTATGAAGATATCCATGACATAAGTTCTTAGAGCTTAATTTCTACATCAAAGTGACTTTTCTTTTTGACTCAGTGATAATTGGGAGTTTGTGGGGTTTTTTGTTTTTTGTTTTTTTAAGATTTTATTTATTTATTTGACAGAGATATAGCGAGAGCAGGAACACAAGCAGGGGGAGTGGGAGAGGAAGAAGCAGGCTTCCTGCCGAGCAGGGAGCCCGATGCGGGGCTCGATCCCAGGACCCTGGGATCATGACCTGACCCGAAAGCAGTCGCTTAATGACTGAGCCACCCAGGTGCCCCAGTAATTGGAAGTTCTGTTTTTATTTTTGAGAGAGAGAGAGAGCACATGCACACAGTAGTGGGGGGAATGGAGAGGCAGACTAGACTCCCTGTTGAATGTGGAGCCTGACGCTGGATCCCAGGACCCTGAGATCGTGACATGACCTGAGCCAGAGTCAGATGCTTAATCCACTGAGCCACCCAGATGCCCCGGAAGTTTTACATTTTATTTGTTTTGTCTTTTTAAGACTTGCGGAAAATACAGGTAGAGTGTATTATTACTTGTCTCTGCTTTTTTAGGCTATTGTAATTTACTCTTTGGAACCACTGTTTCAAAATCGTAATGAACTGTAAGCATTGATATATAATGTACCACAGGCATAGAAATTATAGGTATAGGAGATTGAGCTAAATATATTGCTATAAGCATCTGTCCAGGGAATGTCATTTTGGACTTATTTTGTTGGAAAATATTGCCTTTACTCAAAATGTGGTATAGGAAAAAAATCCGGTTAATGGGGGACTTTATTAAAGATATTGTAGAACTGTGAATATATGTAAAGCCTTTAACATATGTGACGTATTTTTCAGCATAAAATAGTTAAATCCATTTTAGTTATGACTTTAGTTAACATCTGTGCACCAATATTATTTCAATTTAGAGTTGTTGGAAGAATTTAGTCCAGTTGTTGAGAGACTTGGATTTGATGAAAATTTTGTGGATCTAACAGAAATGGTTGAGAAGAGACTACAGCAGCTTCAAAGTGATGAACTTTCAGCGCTGACTGTGTCGGGTCATGTATATAATAATCAGTGTAAGTGTATTCTTACTCTATTTAGTAACTCAAAGTACCAACATTTTTTAATGTTCACTGAATTCAGTGAGTTCAACGAGTTGACTATCTTTCTGAAAATTTTATGGCTTTTGTTGGAGGTATAGCCATATTTCAGTGACTTGTCTCAAATGACTAAAATTAGGTATTGGTATTCCATATTAAGTAGGCAGAAAGTGAGATTTTGGTGACATGTGTAGCTCAGTGCTCCATGCACTTTTCATTTCTCTGACACAGTTTGTGTGTTACCATTTTTAAGAGCCATACTTCCTTAGGTCATCCTTTAGTTATAAGAGTTGCCTTAATAATGTACTTTTTAGAATAATTTTTGCTTCTCCTAAAGCTGTCTTTAAGCAAAATTTTGAGGTAAACTAAATTTGTCTTTTGTTGCATCTTTTGCTTGTTCCTTTCTGTTCTCCCAGGCATCAACCACTCATGTTGCTCTCTGAGTTCCTGAGTTACCCTCTGTGGAAGCTTGCCCAGGCCTACCTGCCATCTTTTGCAAACTCATATTCAGTCAGTTTGATAATCTTTGCCAACTATTAGCAAGAAAACAGAATGGTCCATCTCCTTCACATATTAAAGTATAAATGACTGATGGAATTTCCAGAGATATTTGCTTTTGAAGATAAGCTTCAATAAGCCCCAGTGAATATCTGTTAGACTTTAAAACCTCTTGTAACTCTGCTGGTGACTTCCATATCATACCACATGGAAGACATGCTAGTCTGCTTTTGTGTAAGATTTGCCCTGACCTTCTTGGCCTAGGTCTCAGCATATGTGTCCTCTTATCCCCCTTTTCTGAGAACTGGTGATCAATCTCCAGTCTAGTTCTCTGCCATCCTGATACTAAAGAAGAAAAGGGGTAGAGCTACAGTTCTCTTCTAGAAGAGGACACGAAGCTTTTCATGTGTCCTTTGGACCTGCTCTTTTGTCACTTATAGGGACTGAATAGAAGAAGGTTCTAAGTATGTTTCTTTATAATTTTTAAAGCAAATTCAGTATTTGTTAGTACATAATATAGAGATCTAGGTTTTATATCCTAAAAAGAAAATGTGTGATTCTTCATGAATCCTTCCTCACAAGATTCATGCATGAATGATAACCCTTTTTTCAAACCTACAAAAAAGTTGAGCAGTACAGTGAGAACACTTATACCCTTCCTTGTAGATACACCCATTGTTATTTTCCTACATTTACTTTATCTTGCTCCCTCTTGATTGATTGGTTGTTTGATTGATGAGCCATTTAAAAGTAAATTGCAGACTCATGACACTTCATCTGTAAATACTCCTGAGGATAAGGACAGTCTCATATAATTCTAATAGCATTTTCACCCCTAAGAAAATTTGTTTCTGTATAATTTCCCTACACTTTCCATAGAAGATCTCTTAAACTATGTACAGACTCAGAATTATTTTCAGTAGCACATATAGCTAGTGTGTGTAAAGTTTAGATTCAGATCTTTAAAGCTATAATGTTAGCTCTGTTATTAGCGTAATACTTCTACTTTTATGCTTGCTTACAGTTAAACACAAGTAAAAGTTTTACTAGTGTCAGGAATTTTTTTATGAGACATCAGTTTTCATAATCTGTTAATCATTAAGCACTCCCAGGATGCATTCACTATCACAGGCACTTGGAATTCACTTTTGGAAGTTATTTACTTTACAGGATTCCTATGAAGAATGAAAGAGATGAGTTAAATGGGTGACAGTATGGTGGTGTTGTGTGTGTGGGGGGGGGGGGGTTGGATATAGGTTAAGCCCTGTGCCCTTTTTAAACTCATTTGTAAAAAAGAAAATTAAAATTTTTGTGGTGACTTAATGATATTGGCTGTTTTTATAGATATAAACCTGCATGACATCGTGCACATCAGACTACTTGTTGGATCTCAGATTACAGCAGAAATGCGGGAAGCCATGTATAATCAACTGGGTCTCACTGGCTGTGCTGGAGTGGCTTCTAATAAATTACTGGCAAAATTAGTTTCTGGTGTTTTTAAACCAAATCAGCAAACAGTGTTATTACCTGAAAGTTCTCAAGTTCTCATTCAGAGCTTGAGCCATGTAAAGGAAATGCCTGGTAAGACGTTTATAGTTGAAAAATATACATTAGTTTTATTGTATTTTTTTTTTTTAAAGATTTTATTTATTTATTTGACAGAGAGAGACACAGTGAGAGCAGGATCACAAGCAGGGGGAGAGGGAGAGGGAGAAACAGGCTTCCCGCGGAGCAGGGAGCCCGATGTGGGGCTCGATTCCAGGACCCTGGGATCATGACCTGAGCCGAAGGCAGACGCTTAACGACTGAGCCACCCAGGCGCCCCTTATTGTATTTTTAATTTAAAAAATTATAGATACATGTTATTAATTCTTAGAGTCTGTATACTTGGCTCTTGGAGAAAACCCAAAACCCTAATGTTCTCTAGAGGGAATCTGGATTAGGAAATCTATGAATGTACTTTTCTAGTTTCACCTACTTTTTGTATAGTTTGAATGTGATCAATAAAGCTATAACCTGGAATCACGGTCCTTTATTTCCAATCCCTGCTTCATATTCTTAACACCATACACTGCACCTCGAGAGGGGCATTGGCCTTTTACTTACTCTACTTTGGGATTATATAGAAAATATTAGGGCTACAAGGGACCTTCCAAAGCAGTTAGGCCAAGTTCTTATTTTAAAGATGAGGAAACTACTTTTCTTGAGGGGATTAGTGACCTATTCAGGTCATGGGGCAAATTTCTATCTTTGAAGATCAAATACAGTTTTATAGACCATTAATAAGGGATATGTTAAACTTCATTTCTATGGCATTGCTGGGAAATAAGATGTTAGAATTCTGTGGAAGTGAAGTTCTAAGGCAACTGAACCTTTAGATGTCATAACTTCGTATTTTTAACCCATATTTGTGTGATTACAAAATGTTTTTGCCTTCATTAATGTAGTATAAGTGTAACCTGAAGTTTTCTGGATGACTCTCAGTCTGTGTTCTGAAGACAGTTATTATGTCGGGTTGTAATATAACATTATTACTTGGCTTTACTTTTTGAGTTTGTTTGTTTGTTTATGTATTTACAGGTTTTCTCTTTTCTTATTGCCAAATTGGCAGCTCTCTTTTATTTCAGCTGTGAAAATAACTGACACAATACTTTTTTTTTTTTTTAAAGATTTTATTTATTATTTGACAGAGAGAGAATGAGAGAGAGAGAGCACATGAGAGGGGGGAGTGGGAGAGGGAGAAGCAGACTCCCTGCCAAGCAGGGAGTCCGATGCGGGACTCGATCCCGGGACTCCAGGATCATGACCTGAGCCGAAGGCAGTCGCTTAACCAACTGAGCCACCCAGGCGCCCTAACTGACACAATACTTTAATAATTTCTCTCCACGGAGTGCCTGGGTGGCTCAGTCAGTTAAGCCTCCGACTCTTGATTTCAGCTCAGGTTATGAATTCAGGGTCATGAGATCGAGCCCAGCATGGGGCTCCCTGCTCAGCATGGAGTCTGCTTGAGATTTTCTCTCCCTCTCCTCCTGCCTCTCCCGCTTGTGCTCTTTTTCTTTCTCAAATCAATCTTTTTTTTTTTTTTTAAGATTTTATTTATTTATTTGACAGAGAGGGTGAGACAGTGAGTACAAGCAGGGGGAGTGGCAGGCGGAGGGAGAAGCAGGCTTCCCGCCGAGCAAGGAGCCCGATGTAGGGCTCGATCCCAGGACCCTGGGATCATGACCTGAGCGGAAGGCAGACGCTTAACCAAATGAGCCACCCAGGTGCCCCAATAAATAAATCTTAAAAAAAAAAAAATTTCTCCTCCACATCCATTGCCTTTGATTTACTTCTTTTACTGTACAGGAAGATCAAAATCCTGTAAAATTAAATTTTTTTTAAATGAGAGAAATAAAGGGGCAGTAAATTACCTGATCATCTCAGGTAAGGTGATAAAGTATGACTGAGTTTTAGCGCAAGAACTTTTGAAAGTTTTGTTAATGAGTAGGTTTTTTTGTTTGCTTTCTGGTTCTTCTTTTGGGATAGTAAATATTGCCAGATATGACTTGTGGATAAATGTGTGATATTATGTGTAGGAATCAGGTTAGCTGATTAGCACATGCTAATTAATTTTGTTGTTGTAGTGACAGTCTTTCTTTGCATGAATAATAACCCTTATTCTTGAATACTTCCAAAGTATTATGTAACAGGTGGTAAACATTTCATTTTATCAAGACAGCATTTATTGGTTGTCTCCATATTCATTATGTTGTACTAGGGTTGTGAGGTTTTCAAAGTGGTTCATTTAAGAGGCCCTGAGCAGAAGGACAGCCTAATTTTCAATAAAATTTAATCCTAGCAAAATATTCATCAAGGAATTTAAGGATGTGTTTGGTATATCTCTATAATATTTTAATTAGCTTTAAGGAGAAAAACTATTGTAACACTGTATTTCTTTTTGTCTAGGTATTGGCTATAAAACTGCCAAACGTCTTGAAGCGCTCGGTATCAGTAGTGTGCTTGATCTTCAAACCTTTTCACCCAAAATATTAGAAAAGGAGTTAGGAATTTCAGTTGCTCAGCGTATCCAGAAGCTCAGTTTTGGAGAAGATAACTCACCTGTGACGCCCTCAGGACCACCTCAGGTACATGATAATGATATTTATTTTATTTTATTTTTTAATTTTTTATTTATTTGCAAGAGAGAGAATGAGAGACAGAGAGCATGAGAGGGAGGAGGGAGGGTCAGAGGGAGAAGCAGACTCCCTGCTGAGCAGGGAGCCTGATATGGGACTCGATCCCGGGACTCCAGGATCATGACCCGAGCCGAAGGCAGTCGCTTAACCAACTGAGCCACCCAGGCGCCCTAATGATACTTATTTTAATTGAGTACTGTTTGTCACATTATTTGAGATAAAGATTTCTGGTTTTAGTATTATGTTCTTACTATTCTAATTTGCTTACTAGGTTAGTATATGATCTCTTTCCTATGAGAAGGCTAATTTATTAAGTTAATAAATTTTTTTTTTTAAGATTTTATTTATTTATTTGAGACAGAGAGAATGAGAGAGAGAGAGCACAGGAGAGGGGGGAGGGTCAGAGGCAGAAGCAGGCTCCCTGCCGAGCAGGGAGCCCGATGCGGGACTCGATCCAGGGACTCCAGGATCATGACCTGAGCCGAAGGCAGTCACTTAACCAACTGAGCCACTCAGGCGCCCAGTAAATTTTTTTTTTTTAAGATTTTATTTTATTTATTTGACAGAGAGATAGAGCACAAGTAGGCAGAGCAGCAGGCAGAGGGAGAGGGAGAAGCAGGCTCTCCACTGAGCAGGGAGCCTGACGTGGGGCTCAATCTCAGGACTCTGGGATCATGACCTGAGCCGAAGGCAGACGCTTAACCATCCGAGCCACCCAGGTGCCCCAGGTTAGTAAATTTTTTTTAAGTAGGCTCTATGCTGGAGCTTGAACTCATGATCCTGAGATCAAGACCTGAGCTGAAATCAAGAGTTGGATGCTGGGGCGCCTGGGTAGCTCAGTCGTTAAGCGTCTGCCTTCAGCTCAGGTCATGATCTCAGGGTCCTGGGATCGAGCCCCGCATTAGGCTCCCCGCTCCGTGGGGAGCATGCTTCCCACTCTCCCTGCTGGTGTTCCCTCTCTCGCTGTGTCTCTCTCTGTCAAATAAATAAATCTTTAAAAAAAAAAAAAGAGTTGGATGCGTAACTGCCTGAGCCACCCAGCCGCCCCTAGATTAGTAAATATTTTTAAATTGAATCTAATAGTATTTCTGTCTCAAGTTAGCTACCTTGATTAAATATCACTTAATTTTAACAGCCTATGTTGCATACATTTGGCAAAATACTTTAATTTTTAAGAAATATTGTTTGCCAATTAATCTAGTGATTTAGGAAATGGAGACAGGTATAATCACCTAGTTAACACTGATTGATTTTTTTTTTCCTATGTGACAGGCACTTTACTAAGTGCTTTATATACCTTAGTCCATTTAATCTTCACAACAAAGCTTCGAGGTAGGTAGCACTATTATTTGTTCATACCTTTTCCCTTTCTCCTGTTCTTTTCTTAAAGATAAGATACTATACTTTAGAAAGGTTAAATAATGTGTCCAAGGTTAAACTCAATTTCAAGTGCTAGGATAAGAGCCTCACTGTAATCGTAGAATAGAGCTTGGAGTTGGTACTAGAACTTTATAATTTTCTTGACTTTCTAGTGGAGTACAATAACTTGCAGATAAAAAAGAGTTAATATAAAAGTGAACTAAACGGCTCAAATTAAGCACGAGAGGAAAGTTAGTAAAGAATGTTTGAACATTTGGCATGTACACTCATAACTGGATATGCTTATTTGGGTTTACAATAATACCTATTTGTGCTTCTTTGGTAGTCCTTTAGTGAAGAAGATTCATTTAAAAAATGTTCATCAGAAGTCGAAGCTAAAAGTAAGATTGAAGAACTACTTGCCAGTCTTTTGAACAGGTGATTTTCCATTTTGCCATATCGTTCTATACCGTATAAGATATATGGAAAGTATAGTTGATGTTCTGTCTTGGAACTTATAGACTAACTGGAGACTGAACAGTGTAAAGAGAGATCATTTATCATTGAATTTCTCTACATTATAAACTATTGCAATTATAGTAACAAGTTCTCTTAACTAAATTTAATTCATTTGTTCCCATTAGTCTTAATTTTGGTAACATTGTGGTTATACTGTGGCTCTTAAGCTGCTCATAGTTACCTAAGAGGGTTTTATGGATATCTAGAATCTCTACACCTATAAATCTGTGATGATTGAGGATAGGAAATTATGAAGACACCAGTGATGGAGAAAGTAGAACCCTCATTATCTCCTTTGCCTCAGACTATATAAAAGAAAACGGACTCAGACAAAGGAGTAGCTCAGTGGGGCTGTGTGTGAGCAGTCAGAGTGTGGTGTGTGCAGGGCAGTGGTCTGTAAGTACATGAACATGTCAGCTGGGATTATGAGTATATGAATAGCATAGCATAAACTGAGCAAGATGTTTAGTTTTCTGATGCTCCTTTACTATCCTATATCTATTTCTCAGTGTTCCATAGAAGAGTATTATCTCTTTTCCTCCCATTTCTTTGATTACTCAAATAAGGTGTCAGGGGTCTAACAGTTTTGAGGAGCTGTACTTCTGTACTTCTGTAAATGAGCGTAAGATGGCTAACTCTGACTAGAGAAAAAGATTTTTAGATGACTAAGTCTCAGTAAACTGTTGAGGTAAAATTTCCTACAGCTTTGCTCTCACATGCTGTGTGGTTCTCATGTCTTGAGCAGAGCCGTGCAACTCATCGTTTGCTGCGTGCAACTGGGGCTCGCTGAATGACCCAGCTCCAGTGATAAAACTCAGGCTGGGCCTGTGAGTGTTTTTCTGAAACTGGGTCATCTGTTCTGCTTCAGCTAAATGTGAGACTACTGTGAAATGCCTGGCCATTAGAAGGAGTTCCGCATGCAGAGAAACCACAATTTCATAGACTCTTACATTTGAAGCATCAACCCAGAAATGAGGCTACGTGCTCTAAACCTGTAAATGACCAACTGTGAACCGTTTATCCTTATCTCTGCTTTCCATTCCCTTTCCACACCATGGCCCCTGATTTCAGTGACTGAGGTATAATACCATTGAAGTGACTGGCAAAAAAAATGATTGTGTTTGTGTGAATGTGTTTTCCCTCTAGTTTAAGCTTGCTTAGAATATAACCTTTTACTAGTATGTCTTAATTAGTTATAGGAACCAAGTAATACTCTTTAAATTGTATGATGAAAAGGTTAACTGGAAGATATTTAAACTAATAACATGTTTACAGGAGCCATGTAAGATATCTTATTATCTTAGTAAGGCAGCAGTCAAGACGTTTTGTGATAAAGCAATAAAGAAAAAAATCATTTATAAAAACCCAAATTTTCCAGTTCAAAATCTTCAATATGAGTGAGGTTAACAATATACAATATTTTTATTTTGTGTTTGTGATTTTTTTTTTTTTAAAGATTTTATTTATTTATTTGAGAGAGAGAATGAGATAGAGAGAGCATGAGAGGGAGGAGGGTCAGAGGGAGAAGCAGACTCCCTGCTGAGCAGGGAGCCCGATGCAGGACTCGATCCCGGAACTCCAGGATCATGACCTGAGCCGAAGGCAGTCGCTTAACCAACTGAGCCACCCAGGCGCCCCGTGTTTGTGATTTTTTAATGCATTGCCATACATATAAAAAGCAAAATATTACTTTAATGACATTTATTCTAGTAATTAGATTTTCTGCTTTTTAAGTGAATTTTCTATCTTGTTAAAACTTTTGTTTTCAACACTGAAACCAAGACCATTTGAATGTAACACTTTTTAAGATGCCTGTACATGTACTACTTAAATATAGTATATAATTGATCATTCAAGCTATTACTTTATTTGCCATATAATGGTGATATTACTGTTCTTTAGGTCTATTCAGGAAGTGCTTGTTGACAAAAATTATCTCATTTAAATTTTTTTTTTCTTTTTGTAATCTTATTTTTTCCTGTGTAAAAAGAATCTGTCATTTTTCATGTATTTGCCTCTGCCAGTGAATAAGTCCCTTAGTTTCTTTAATTTCCTGCCAATTTTGTATGTTGCTTTTAGTTATGTTTGGACTTGGATTATAAAATGATTTGTTATAATTATATCTTATTTCTGTTCTTTTCCTGATTGCACTCAATTCTGAATGGTACCTGGGACCTTACATTTAAGATTTTAGAGCTTTGGTGCATAGATGTGCTGAAATTTGTTTGGGCTATTCAGAGACTTTTATTGCTTACTGCCTAGTTATCAACCATATTTATAATTGTTATGGTTGTAAATCTGATACCTCTATAGATAAAAACATCTCTCCTTTCTCTTTCCTTTTAGAGTATGCCAAGATGGAAGGAAGCCACATACAATCAGATTAATAATCCGTCGGTATTCATCTGAGAATCACTGTAGCCGTGAGAGTCGTCAGTGCCCTATTCCATCTCATGTGATTCAGAAGTTAGGGACAGGTATGGGCTAATTTTCTAATAATTTAATTGGCCGTTTGAACTCTTTTTTTTTTTAATTTTTAAGATTTTATTTATTTGAGAGAGAGAAAGAGAGCATGAGAGGGGAGAGGGTCAGAGGGAGAAGCGGACTCCCCGCTGAGCTGGGAGCCCGATGGGGGACTCTGTCCTGGGACTCCCGGATCATGACCTGAGCCAGAGGCAGTCACCTAACCCAACTGAGCCACCCAGGTGCCTGGCAGGTTGAACTCTTAAAAAAACAAACTTTGAATTAGAAATATGATCCAAAGATGGAGGATCTTCACAGGGAGTTAATGAGCTATTAAATACCTTCATTCTATCAGGAATTTTTACAGGAAAACTTTGTTGTTGTTTAATAGAGAATGTATTTTATGGCACAAGATAACTTCTTTATGGGCATTTAGATTGTTTCCATTTTTTGGCTATTATGAAAAATGGTGCTATGAATATTTGTATGCAAGTCATTGGGCAGATATATGTTTTTGTTTATCTTGGGTAGATCACAAAGAGTGGAATTGCTGGGTTATATGGTAAGTTGAACTTTAAGAAACTACCAAACTTTTTCCCAAAGTGAGTATAACATTTACATTCTTACCAAGAGTGTATGAGGGTTCCGGGCTTTCATATTCTCTCTCACACTTAGTATTGTCAGTTTACTCTATTATAGTCATTCTTGTGGCCTTGCAGTGGTATTTCATTATGTTTTGTGGGGGTTTTTTTTTTCTCTTTTATGGATACTGCTTTTGGTGTCTTATTTAAAAAATCTTTGCCTAACCCAAAGGTCACAGATATTTCCTCCTGTGTTTTCTTTTAGAAATTTATAGTTTTAAGCTTTACACTTGATCTAATTTGAGTAAATTTTTGTGTATGGTGTAAGATAAGAGGCTTAGTTCATTCTTCTGTATGTGGATATCCAGTTGTTCCAAAAGAATTTGTTAAACAGATCATTCTTTCTTGAATTGTCATGGCACCTTTGTCAAAAACTAATTGACTCTAAAGAAGTTTACTTCTTGATTTTCTTATTTCATTGATTTATGTGGTTATCCTTATATCAGTTCCACCCTGATACTTTGTTATAAGTTTTGAAATTAAATAGTGTAAATACTCCAGCTTGTTCTATTTTGAATTTCTTTTGGCTATTCATGGTCCTGGGCTTTTGTTTGTAGGAAGATTTTAAAATAGGAATTTGATTTTTTATTTATTTTAAGTTTATTCTAATTTTCTATTTATTTTGAATCAGTTTTGGTAACTTTTATCTTCTAGGAATGTATCCATTTCATTCAAGTTGTCTAGTTTGTTGGCATGAAGTTGTCAATATTCCCTTATTATCCTTCTAATTTTTGTAGGATCTATAGTGATGTCTCCTCTTTCATTCCTGATTTTGGTAATGCATGTATTCTCCTTTCTTCTTTATCATTCTAGCAAAGGTTTATCTGAGTGAGGCCTCACTCAAAGGTTTTATTGATCTTTTTCTAAGATCCAACTTTTGGTATCATTGATTTTTCTGTTGTTTTTCTACTTTCTATTTCATTTATTTCTGCTCTGTCTTTAATTTATTTCTGCTTGCTTTAATTTGTCCTTTTCCCTCTGGTTTGTTAAGATGGAAGCTTATATTATTTGTTTTATACTTATTTTCTAGTAATTCAAGTTTAAAGTGATACATTTCCTTTTATTGGTGCTTTAGCTGCATTCCATAACATTTGTTGTATTTCCTTTTCATTAAGGTCAAAATCATTTCTAATATCCCTTGTGATTTCTTCTTTGACCCCTAAGCTCATTTAGAAATTTGTTGTTTAGGGTGCCTGGGTGGCTCAGATGGTTAAGCGTCTGCCTTTGGCTCAGGTCATGATCCCGGGGTCCTGGGATCGAGTCCCACATCGGGCTCCCTGCTAGGCGGGGAGCCTGCTTCTCCCTCTGCCTCTGCCTCTCTCTCTCTCTCTCTGACTCTCATGAATAAATAAATAAAACATTTAAGAAAAAAAAAAAAGAAATTTGTTGTTTAATTTCCAAATATTTGATGATTTCCCAAATTTCATTCTGCTGTTGATTTCTGCTTTAATTTCATGTTGATCAGAGAACATATTTTGAGTAATTTCAGTCTGTCTAGATTTACTGAGTGTAATTTTATTGCCTAGCATATGGTCTGTCCTGGAAAATGCACCAGTTATGTTTGAAGAGTTGAGCAACACTATTAAACCATTCTACCTAAAATTTATGGAAGACTCAGATATAGCATTTTTGAATGGCAGTTTGTCTGGATATAGAATTCTTGACTGTAGGGGCGCCTGGGTGGCTCAGTCGTTAAGGGGCTGCCTTCGGCTCAGGTCATGATCCCAGGGTCCTGGGATCGAGCCCTGCCATCGGGCTCCCTGCTCCGCAGGAAACCTGCTTCTCCCTCTCCCACTCCCCCTGCATGTGTTCCCTCTCTCACTGTGTCTCTCTCTGTCAAATAAATAAATAAAATCTTAAAAAAAAAAAAAAAAGAATTCTTGACTGTTTTTTTTTTCCTACTTTGAATATACCATTCTGTTGTCTTCTGGTTTCCATTATTTATGATGAGGAGTCAGCTCTTAATAGTTTTATCAGTCTCCTTCCAATCAGGAGAGAATAACCACACAAAAATTTAAATAGAGAAAGTTCCACAGAATTATTAAACCGTGTTAGGGGAGTGACTATAAAAGTATAAAGAGGACTCTTAAGGGGTACCCAAGGGCTGAGGAAAAGTACCCAAGGAAGGACAAACTTAGAAAGGAGAGTCCCTCTACCCCTTAAGGAGAAGGTGTGGTTGTAGAACATTGGATGGTGGAGAAATCCTTTGAATTACCTGGCCCAGAGCTGGTCCATAGTTATTGGACAAAGAGAAAACCATCCTCTGATCTGTGGGTGAGCTGAGGCTGGTTGGTGGGCACACAGAATGAGTTGGGATGTTGGGAGCTTGCTCATTGGTGAGGCAGTGCATGGGTTGGAGCATGCAGTGTTCGTATTGGGAGAACTTCTGTTAACAACCCTTTAGGATGCAGGTAAGCTGAGCCTGGTAGATGGTTGTGCTGAAGGTATCTGTATTCTGCTAGTGCAAAGGTGGAAAGTATGGTGCCTGCATAGGAAGACCTGGAGGAAACAACCCTCTGAGATAGAGGCAAGTCAAGGCTATTAGGTGGGTGTGCAGAATGAGTGCGGGCACTGTCCTGGTATGTATGGTGTTTAAGTTGGTAGTGCCATGGTACAGTCACTAAGCTCAAGCTGGGGCTCGAGGTTGCTGAGGGACTGAGTGTTCCACATGTGTGTGGTATAGAAAGCACTCTTAGGTGTCCCTACACATATGTACTACAAACAAACCATGTAATGGGAGAAAGCAAAATTAAATAACAGTACGTTGGAAATTCATGGAACCAGGAAACAGGTTCCTGGACCAGGAAGATTTTCTTCCTGGTCTTCCAGTGTTCTTTAATGACAAGGTGTAATGTCATATTCAGTGTGAAAAATTTTAGAGTCTAATGCATTATCTCAGAGCAGGTACTGAAGAGTGAATTTGGAGCTGGGTTGTACTGCACTATAATGATAGTTGTATTGTTATTCTCTTTTATTGATGAGTCATTTGTCTCTGTCTTTGTCTTTCATCAGTTTGACCATGATGTGTCTAAGTGTGGAATCTTGTGTTTATCTTTCTCTGGATTTATTGAACTTGATTTTGTAGATTAATTTTTTAATGAAATTTGGGAAGTTTTAGGCTCTTATTTCTTCAAATAGTCTTTCTTGCCCTTTTTTTTCTTTCATCTCCTCTGGAGCTTCCATTTCACATATGTTGGTATGATTGATAATAACCTAAAGGTGCATGCAATTCTGTTTATTTTTCTTCAGTCTTTTTTCTCTTCTTTTTAGATTGGATAATTTTTTTTTAAAGGATTTTTTTTTTTTAATATCTTTACACCCAACTTGGGGCTCGAACTTACAACCCTGAGATCAAGAGTCGCATGTTCTACCCACTGAGCCTGCTAGGCACCCAAAGATTGGATAATTTCTATTGAGCTGTCTTCAAGTTCTCTTGATTCAGCTGTCATCTCAAAGCTGCCATTGCCCATCTAGTGATTTTATTTGTTTATTTTGGTTACTGTACTTTTTAACTCTAGACTTTCCATTTGGTTTGTTTGTATGTTTGAGTCTGTTTCCTTACGAGATTCTCCTTCTTTGGTAGTTATCATATTTTATTATTTTATTTTTACTTTTTTAAAGATTTATTTATTTGAGAGAGAGAGGGAGTGAGATGGGGAGAGGGGCAGAGGGAATCTTAAGCAGACTCCCTGGTGAGTGTGGAGCCCAGTGAGGGCTTGATCCCACCACCCATGAGATCATGACCTGAGCCAAAACCAAGAGTCAGATGCTTAACCGACTGAACCACTTAGGCACCCTCATATTTTACTTTAATTCTTTAAAATGGTTTTCTTTAATTCTTTTTTTTTTTTTTTTTAAGATTTTGTTTTTCATTTGAGAGAGAGAGAGACAGAGCACACATGCATGAGTGGGGAAAGGGACAGAGTGGGAGAGAAAGAAGCAGATTCCTTGCTGAGTGTGGAGCCTGACTCAGTGCTCAATCTTAGGATCCTGAGATCATGACCTGAGCTGAAATCAAGAGTTGGAGGCTTAACCCACTGAGCCACCAAGGTGTCCCTTTAATTTTTTGAACATATCTATAGTAGCAACTTTGAAGTCTGCTAAATCCAACTCAAAGTCAATTTCTATTGACTGCTTTTTCCTCCTGACTAGACTCACACTCCTGTTTCTTCATGTATTATAATATTTTATAGAAAAGTGGACATTTTAGATAATGTATTTTAGCAACTCTGGATTTGGATTTTCTTCTTGTGGGCTTTTTTTTTTTCTTTTCCTTTTCTAACTTGTCTGAACTTAAGCTGCAGAATCTACGTCCCCTGTGATGTGTAGCCTCTGATTTCTCTGCTTAGCTTTCTTTTTTTTTTTTAATTTTGATTTAAATTTTTTATTTTGGCTTCATAGGTTACCTCTGTGTCTGCATAGTTTAGTGGTTAGCCGATGACCGGTCAAATGCTAGAGCCTGAAAGGCTTGTGCCTTCTGTCAATAGATAAGTGCGTGGGTTGGAGAGTGCTTTCAAAATTTAGGCCATTTTCAACTCTGCCTTGGCTTTTATTTTCTGTAGCCTTCTTGTATCGTCTATGTATGCTTGTTGCCATTCCCGTCCGTGATGTGTAGAGAGCTTGGGCCCTCTCTCCCCTCCCCTCCATGTGCATGCAGTCTCCCAGTCAGCTGGGGTTGTGAGGGGAGCTTATCCAGTCCCTGTATGGTTCTCTCATTTCCAGATCTGGTTAAATTTATGGCTCACCCACTGATTTTTCACTCACTCCAGCCACAACTGCAACCTCAGGCTAGAGAGCTGTGTGATTTCCCCAGTTGTTTCCTACCAAGTTTATTCACTTTACTGCAAACACTGCTGGGTATGGGCTTTTGCCCTCTGCCTCAAATCAAGTCTGTCCTTTCTGACAGCAAAGCTACTGGCTCTCACAGCCAGCCTCACCCTGGCAGGACTACTGCGTAGAGCAAGATATGAACAACCCCAGCCAGTAAGGCTGCTGTCTCCTCCTTTCTCATCTAAGTTCTACTAGCTGTTATAAATCATTGCTTCTCAATTTATTTGCCTTTGGTCCATTTTCAGATCCTCAAAATTGTTGTTTTTGACAATGTTTTCCAGTTTTATTATAGTTTTATGGGGAGAAGATTTTCTGATCTGATCACACTGCCATAACTGGAAGTCCCATATTTCAAATCATTTGAAAACTTTACCTTATTTGGCATTTAGTGTTGAGATTGTCCCAGTGTAGTATATACTGTCAGGATGTCCCAATGATACTGTTTAGGATTTTAACTTCTTAATCTAAGCAATATAAACTAGATTAAGCTTTTAATATTAATCATGACAATGTGCTTAGATACTTCTTCTCAAACATGTTGTTTAGGAAATTGCGATGTGATGACCCCAATGGTTGATATACTTATGAAACTTTTTCGAAATATGGTGAATGTGAAGATGCCATTTCATCTTACCCTTTTAAGTGTGTGCCTCTGCAACCTTAAAGCATTAAATACTGCTAAGAAAGGAACTATTGATTATTATTTAACACCATCATTATCAACAACTTCACGGTCTGGCAAGCGCAGTTTTGTAAGTACGCCCTTGTTGGATTTGTGTGGTTAAATTACAAATCTAAGTTTGTGTTCCATTGATATAATTTAGAGAGTCTTTTGGATGATATTGTTTGAATGACTTACTTGTGTATATTACTTCTCATATTATGGTTGCCACTGTACTGTGATCTAAGAAGAAAACATAAGCATCACTGGATAAAAGAGAAAACCATAATGGACGTTCCTTGTTTTGGAGGTGTTAAAACATTTTATAGCAACAGGAATATGGTGATTAGCTAATAAAAAATATTTCTAGATACTGGAAATAAAATCTTTTTGTCTATTAATTTATATATAAGCTACCAGCATCCCCCCAATGTTTTTGTTAAAGTATTTAAATTTTGGGGGTGCCTGGGTGGCTCAGTCAGTTAAACGTCTGCCTTCGGCTCAGGTCATGGTCCCGGGGTCCTGGGATCGAGCCCTGCATCGGGCTCCTTGCTCAGCAGGAAGCCTGCTTCTCCCTCTGCCTGCTGCTCCCCTTGCTTGTGCGCTCTCTCTCTGTTGAATAAATAAATAAAATCTTAAAAAAAAAATTTTTTTTTCTTGGTTTTGAAATTACATTGAATTTTAATAACAAGATTGATATATGACTACTCATTCTACAATTGTAGAAATTAAGAGTGTGGCAGTAAAGAAGCAGAGGCCGGTCATATTTCCAAGTGACTAAAACAAAACCTTATATTTATGGCCATTTAGCAAACCTCTAGTTACTAAATATGGGATGCTTTAAAAAAAAATCATATTTTACTAAATTGTGCTTGCCTATAATTAACTCTTAATTCAAAATGTTTTTATTTTCTTTGTTTTAATGTTTAATCAGTATAATTTCAGTAATATTTTCATTTACATTTCAGTTTAAAATGAGAACGGGATCCTGTTACAGAAATAGTGAATCAGTGCCCTCTTCAAATTACTTTTTTTTCCTGTGGCCCTTTTTATTCCCTTTATTAACTGAAATTTAAAAAGGAGTTTACTTTTTACCTCTTATTTGGTAGAATCAGAATTATAAGTCTTTATAGTGGTATTAGAGAGGTAAACATAAGCAAAAGTACCTTGTATATGTCTGGCATACAGTAAATATAGTGTCCCAGATCTCTTCTCCTTTTACTTTTTTTGCAGTTACTGTTGCGTTGATGTTTCCTGAGTTATATTTGATTGTGTATACATTTTCATGGTGCTTAAAACTAGAGGGAAAATTTAAGTGAAAAATTTACATAGAAAAATTACGCAAATTAGAACTGAAAGTGTTTTTAAA